CTTTTTGTGATGTCACATTTACATACCTAAGGTTCTTTCAAAACTGGAGTGATTTGAGCATTGTTTTCATTTTGTTAGGATCTATGCTGCTACATTTTGAGGATGTGTTTGTTGTGTTGTAAAAAGAGCATCATATTTGCTTGAAACAAACGCATGAAACAGTTTTTCTGCATCGCTCAGAGATATAAAAGGCTAAACTTTAGCAATATTTCTCAAATGATAAAACTGCTTTAGTGACTGCATGTGCATGCAGAATAAAACAGACCTCAGAATAATAATATTACACACAGATTCTGCAAATGATGTAACATGTTTTGAAACATCAGTGTGAAAAGGTCAACTGTAACACTAGGATCAGAAGAGAGAGGAAAAGAGAAGAGAAGGGCGGTTGAGGAGAGGAAGAAGGGGAGGGGGAGGAGAAGGAACCGAGGAGAAGGATGAAAAAAAAGAGAATAAAGCGTGAATAGATGAAAATTGTCTACATTCACATAAGAGGAGTTCAGATGGAGCCTCTGGGAGTTTGCTGAAGCATAAGGACACTCACACACACACACACACTATCACAAGCGCTGAATGTCAGGGCTTAGCAAAAGCGGAACCGCAACAGACAGATTCCCACACTCGGCTGCACATGGCACACTGTTTTGCTTTAGGACGTATGCACGTGCACGCACACACACATACATACATACACATGTCCAAATGAGGAGAGCTGTAGACATTTCTCAACAAATGACACATTTATTCTCAAACATATCTCCCAGTAATATAGTACTCTAATATAGTACACATTTATATATTATTTATCAATATATACTGTATTTCAGCACTTTGCGCTCAGTTGACATGAACAAAAAAATGTTTGACATACATACACATGTGGACCCACACACATACAACAGTCATACATACATCTATCAACTGAATCTATGGTTAAACAGAATTTTGCATAGATATAGTTTTGTATGTGCTTTGCGTGTGCACTAATGTTTTCATCTGGAATGATGACACATTGAAAGGTGCTGTTCATTGCATTCTACACTGCAAAAAATGACATCATGGCAAGTGAAAACATCTTAAATCTAGTCAATATAGATAAGATTTCTCATTTTGAGATTGTTATAAGAATATTAAAAGATTATTGTACAGCTTATTTCTAGTTCTATACTTGCGGGGATGCAGGAAGGTGTTTTAATTTGGGTGTGCATATATGTGGCATAAGTGATGTCACATAAAATGATTTTTCTTTCTTTTATTTTTAGATCATTTACATCAAACAGAACATGTCATAATGTGCTGTAATGTGCACACATATAACCAACACATCAAACCGCTGATGCACACCCTGTGTGCTGTGCTCTGGAATCTGCTCTGGATGATCTTTATGTAAATTAGCTGAGCAGCAACCAGTCAGATTGCTGATATGTGCCACAGTAACCGATTGCGTCACGCTTATAACCAAGCTGCGCAATGAGATTCACACAGTGAATCTCAAATGTATACAAAATGTGGGGCATTTCAGGGGCTAACATTTGGCAAGGGAAGTGATTTTTTTTGCTGTAATGAAAGCAAAGTTAACTTAAACAGCCCTCGGCAGCTGCAGATACTACAAAAAAGAAGATCCAGCTTGATATTTAGATCTCAAATGCAAAATAAACATTATACTATGAAGATATGATGACAATAGTAGATAATTCACTTACATCCTTGGACGACACGTCCCAAGTCATGACTGAGTTTTGACTATTTTGATGCTCTTTCAGTGCACTCGCAATTATCAGAATCATCATTCAGAATAGGGTCTAAAGCACAACCAGCAAAATGCATGCAATTACATATTTCCACCAGAGAGGACTCCAAATCCCCAAATCTTATATTGTGGCTTTAATGTTCTTTTTGAAATAATTTTTAGTAGTTTCAGTTAAACAGCCCCCTCAGCACCACCACTTCCTGTGTCCCTGTTTATTTAGTTGAAGTAATTCTATGTAGACATTGTCTTATTCTATTGACAGGTAATTTTGCTAGTGTAAGATGTAAGAAAGATGATTTAGCTTTGTTCTAAAAAATAATACATGAACAAGCAAAATATAAAGGATTATTATAAAGATTATTATATAACCATATTTTTCTAGATAAAATGAATAAGTAAAATACTTGTATAAAATTCTTTCAACAATGTAAAAATGATAAATATTAGATATATCAACTAGACTTTTACTACTAGATGATTTCACCTTGCAGTATTACTGAAAATATTGCTGCCATTTATGCAGCACTAAAAGTAGCTTGAAAATAGTTTATATTCAAGAATTAATTTGATGCTGTGCGTATTGGACAGAGGACTGAGTGCAAGGGTAGAGGCGCGCGCAGTGGTAATGAATTTGTAGTGGCAGCACTAACGCGACCCGACAACCTGATGACATCACACTCCCAGGGCAACAGGAGCGTGTGTGTGCGCTGTGTGTGACAGCAAATCTCTGATTTGAGCAGCCTTGCTTACAGGCTGTTTGGCCCTCACGTTATTACTCAAAGCATCATGTCTGATGTGATTTCGAATATGTGCGTGCACGTGTGTGTGTGTACGCGTGGTGCTTGGCTGTTCACTATCCTGTTATATAAGGTGGATAAAATCAGACATCCTGACGGAACAACCTCGTGTCCTTCACACCCTCGTTCACAGTCTCTTTCTCTCCGTTAGGGTGTGCGTGAGGGTGTGAGGTAGCTTATAACACTCATTTCCACAATCAAAACCCTTCTCGAATCCTCTGTGCAAATTCTACAACATTCCAAGAGCCCAAATCCTTTCCTACAATTTTTGCACGGGTGGATTTTTTTAATGCAAATATAGTCCCAGAGACCACCATTTACTTATTTAATTTCCAGTCAGAACAGTAATTGTGTACAAGTAATTGATTTTAGAATATAAAATAATCCTAATATACAACAATATACTTGCATAAGGAAGGGGAACATCAACAAATAAGTGGAAAAAATAGGAGTTTACGATACTGGAGTTCAAAAAATGAGTTAAATATTTAGAGAATATGGGACTCCTAACAACCATGCAAGACGTGGCAGAGCACCAACACTGTCCCCATCAGATAAACAGCCCTTAAAGCATTCATCTTTGAGAGATATTCAGCTTCGCTCTTGCTTTAGCTTTTCAAAAGTCTGTCCATTCTTCCACTGTGAGAAGACAACTCTGGGTCTGAAAGGATGTGTAGCTGTCAAGAAGCCATTACTGAGAAAAGGAAATAGACAAAAAAGAAGAAATCATTTGCAAATGAAATAAAGAAGCTCACAACAATGGACCAGCTACCTCAGAGTCCAAACCTCAACATCATTGAATGTAACTAAGATTAAGTCTCCTGAAAGCAAGTCTCTCAAAAAGCTTGGAAGCTGTAATAAAGACAAAAAGTGGATACACTAAATACTGAAAAACTTTAAATTATATTTACTTGTTCAGAATTCTTCACAATTGTCTTGCGCTTAGTGGCTGATTTGACTGGAAATTAAATAAATGTAGTGTGGTCTCTGATTTTTGCACAGTACTGTATATTCTCATCTAAATTCCTAGATTTTAATTCCACTGTGATCAATTTGAAACCTAATCCTGGGGCAGGTCTCTTACACGCACACAGACATAATTACACACGCAGAACTACATACATACATACAGTAGCAGCTGCCTACTTGACCAGTCAAACCCTGATAGGCCGGTAAACATACAGTTCAACCAACCAACCAACCCATAAACACAAATTGAAACGCACTACACAAGTCATTATGTACATATTGCTGTTAAACGCGCTTGCATTAGACAGATCATTATTCTCTGAGTCATTAGTTATACAATTAAAACATTGATATGTATCTATGTATGTTATCTTTGGCCTAATCTCTGGAAGTCGTGTACTGTGTAAATATACTGCATTATAGAACAAGTCCGTTCTTCCCTTGTTGTCGTCATGTCCAGCTTTCCCTTTATGAAGGAGAGTGTTTGGAAAGAGCATTTGTCCCTTTGAGAAGGTGTAGCAAGAGATTTGACGAGAGTTAGATCAGCTTTATCCACAACCATCTGCACATGTGTAATTGTGTGTATATATGTTTGTTTTTATATATATGGGTGTTTTATTTATATCATAAAGGAATACTACAGCATGTTTCAACCTAATCTCTGCCACATCTGTACCGTATAGTTGATTACCACACCTGATAATTTTACCACTTTTCCCTGTAGTCAGAAAACTTGAAAGTCGCTTATAATAGAAACCAATAGGCAGTTGCTGAATTCTGTTGGTGAACTTTTGAAATATGTGAAATACTGTTAATGTACAACAATAACAGTAGAGACATACATATAGAGAAATCCCATAAAATTAATGAATGCTAACAATCACTTATTAATTTGCATATATAAATAATACAGAAATAAATAAACTCATTCTAAATAGTCTTGAAGCAACCAGTCATGTGAACAACACGCACATTTTATTCTTGTAGGCTACAGAAAGCCACATTTGTTGAAAGTGCTCTTAATAAAGGTGAACACAAGACAATAAAGCTGATTAAGACAAGTCTGACATATGTCATTTTCAGTCATGACGAACACAGATGCAAACCAGCTATCTGTGGGTCCTGTAGGCAGGATAAAACATTTATTGGGAGCGGGACAAATGCTGCCAATTTTCTGTGATGTTCTGTTCCGATCAGAAGGATCTTTTAAATGGAGCTGAGAAATGGGGCCTACATTCAGACAATTTTCAAGAAAGCTACCAGAGTATCCTTTGCGGGCTTCTTTTGTCTATAATGCTTCTTGCACTCTGATCTGACCTGATGAAATTTCAAGAGAAACACCAACAGATGAAACCAGCTGCTACAAGTTGTTAAAAAAGGTGTCTGTTTAAGAGGATGTAAATTGAATGCAGGGTGTGTAATGCACCTGCTTTTTAGCTTGCAGGACATCAGCGTTTTGCTTGCCAGATTATCATTCACATCAATGGTATTTTCTCCTTTCTGATCACATGACAAAGTGGCCTTGGTGGACTTGGTATACCATTTTGCATTACGTAATACAAACGAAGAGCTGAGAAAAGTGGATCCTAGCTTTTGGAATGCAGCTCTAGTTTCCTTCAGAGTTTAGTTCTAACCTGTATCTAACATGCTGCACCACACTCACTTAGCACTTCTGCTTCAGATCCAGCCAATGAACAACGTCTGAAGAAGTGAATTAGTTGCAGATTGTGGTTGAAACTAGACTCCACAGGAAGGTAGATCTTCAGGACAAGGGTTGGTTTTCTGGTATTCATGCATGATCAGGCAGGAGTCTGTTAAAACTCCACCTGTAACACTACACTGGTAACATATTGCCACTCTGAAAGAACAAAATATACAAATTGTTCATGCTTAGTTAACTGATTGAGAGAATTCTACAAAAATACTTTCACATAAACATTAGCTGGCAGAATTCTGCCATTTCTCATTAGCTTCTGTTATACGTCTGTCTGGAGTCAACAAGTTTTCTGCACAAGGAAACATGTAGAACATATTATTTGTGGTAATTGTTGAATTGTTGGTGGTAACCCACCGTATGCTACTGATGCAGTAGATTGAAAAATCCAGAAGTATTCCTTTATCGATGTTCATGATCTGTGTTGACTATGTAACACCCCTGGTGCAGATATGGGCATTATTGCATGTCTCGCTTCTTCTCACGCTATAGCGTTCTCCAGCGGCTCCTTCTCCCCTTCCCTATCTGCGTTCTCCCTCTCTGTTCCTCCTCCTCCAGCCTCCTTCTCTCGCTTCTTCAGCTCACGCTGGTATTTGGCCATGATGGCGGCATAGGCGCACCCGTAGACAGCAGCGGCCAGCATCATCAGACAAACAATGCCGCACACCACTCCGGTGATTACCACTGTGGCTATGGCGTGCCGCAGGTTGACAGGCCGAGGCTTCTGTTTGGCCTCACACTCCGGTGGGGGTCCGAATTCGCCCCCATAAGGAGGAGCCTCTGGGCTGGGGTGGAGATGACCACGGAGCAGCCGGTGCTGGTTGTCCAGATGGTGGATGTTGGCGAACAGGTAGCTGTAGCTGGTGGTCATGCAGGCGTGGAAGAGCTCATAGGGAACTTGCTGCAGGTCGCGCTCCCGCATGGCGTGAGGCTGGGCACACACAACCTCGTCCACCACTCCACCTGAGATAGAGAACAGAGGAAAAGAGAGGAGAGGTTGCATATTATCAAGGATGTAATAAAAAAAAGGATAAAGCAAATGAGATCATAGGGATGAAGGAGGGCAGATGAGATGGAACAAAGGAAAAAGAGGGAGAGATCAAGACATAAGACATGATTATAGTTTTGAATGAAAGCTAGATCAGTAATCTTGATTCAAACAGATGGGAATTAAAAGAGGGAGATGAAAACTTGCATTACTGTCATGCATTAATGTTTGCTTTGTAGAATATCTGACTGATTAATTATTTATATCGAAAGTGCAATTTGTAAGAGTGCAATTTCAAATCACAAGCTGTCGTTTTTGAATGCTTTAGAGATACATATTAAAGCTTTGCAACTGTCAAAAACTTGTTGCTGAAACTTAAACTTAGGGACTAAAACTCTATTTACAATCATTTTCCACTTAAACATTTCTTTGAAGAGATTTTACACAACATACTTAAGATAAACAGGAAAACCTAAGGCCAAAATTTACCTAAAATGTTTTATGCAAGTTACCGCCAGACCTCAATTAATAGAAAATCATCACAGTCACAAATACAATATTGATAAACATTGCGATTAGATATTTTGCCCAAATCGTTCAGCCCTACTTTGTAGCCTATATGGCACACTCTTTGGACATTTTATCAGAAACACCTGATCCATGCACTGTATCACTTCACTTTGTAGGTTTACAATTATTTAGTGTAGCTTATTTCTTGCTGTATAACTTATCAGTCCCCCTCTACCACATTCATTTGTGGAAACAGACTGAAACTTCTGAATTCTGAATTTGTCCCAGTAGTTCATTCATTAGTGTAGAGCTTCTCACTTTGCTCTGTGTGATTTAGTTATTACTGTCACATTATGTTTGAATATCTCGACATTACCATAGGTTTGCTAAGCAGTGGAACAGATATATAGACACCCACATTACTTAGTCATCGCCTCTTAGTCATGCTTTCTTTCTCTCTCCCGATTTGTCTCATCTCATCTCACTGAACCTCATCTCACTGAACCTCATCTCACTGAACCTTTGCTTTTGTTCACCCTGTGTTCCTGATCAGTATGCATGCAATCAGATTATCATCATTTGACTTTGAAACAGCAAGCTGCCCAAAGTGCAGAAGCTATGCACCAAAGGGCTTGACATTTGCAATCAGATCAACAGTATAAAAACAGCACTGCACAAACATTCTGGGAATAATCATATGTTAACCCTGCTAGAAATACCAGCATAAACCAGCATAGTTGGTCATCAGCATTGTGTTTTGAATGCTGGTATGGCGGTCAACCAGCATGGCCATGCTGGGTGATGAGCTAAACTAGCACCAGACCAGCATAAACCATCTTAGATCAGCTTAGTTTAGCATGGAATTATTGCTGATTAGCTCGCTATCTTGTATCCCAGCCTGATATGCCCACTGACTACTGTTTTCTGTTCTTTTCTAAGTAGAAAGGAAAAAAAATGTTTACATTTTTGGGCATAGTAATCAACTATAGGGTACAGATGTGGCAGAGATTAGGTTGAAATATGTCTTTGTGCCTAATATGAAGTATTTCTTTAAAACAAATATGCAAATATTTGGAGGATTCTACCGAATTAGTTCCAACTGTGGACCCACAGTACAAAGGTACTTTAAAAAAAGAGATAGATAAAAGAGTAAATAATTACAGTCATAATGATCTATTTAAACCCAATGCATTAATTGAGATAGCAGTAGCTAAATGTACAAAATTATCTTTTATAGGGTACAAGCTCAAATAAATAAACCATACTTACTACTACCCTTTAAACATATAACAGGACCAGTGAGAGGTTTTATGATTTTAAATAAATATGTGCATTTTCAACTGAGGAAAATTCATTCTATTTGATGTGATGATTGTGACAGTTGTGGAAAGTTCTTACAGTCAGCTTAAATAATTGCGATCAGATGATTATGTACTAATTCTGACAGGTCAAAGAGTAAATGCACTAAGAAAATGATTATGACAACCATTAAAGTAAATGCAAGGGCTCAATAATGTTAAGATGACTCCACTGTATATAAGAAGAAATCATATAGCCATCTGTCTACTGGTGTCATAATATCTATTAATACTTAATCTTTCAAAGGTCAAGGTTAAAGAGTGCTGTTTCACTTCTGACAGTCCACCGGCACCAGGCTGTAAACTACATGTGTATGTGCGTGTGTGTGTGTGTGTGTGTGTGTGTGTGTGTGTGTGTGCATGCTCCTAGGTTTTTGCATAAATGGGTTTGGCCACAATGGAAACAGCTGTTCCATACCTTCCTCATTACTCATTTCATAAAGATCATAGTCACATTACTGTTTATTTCTGTCTCTGTAATTAGAGTGCATATTTAGCTGCTTTAATCCACATAGTCTCTCACACTTCTTCAACAATTCTGCAGTACGTCATGTATTTGATGTGTGTAACTAGAAGTCCTAACCAACAGGGCATACTACACACCGTTTGAGCCAGCTTGGCACACTGCCAGTGGATACATTTATCATTTTTTTGTGATAAAACTGCTCTGTATGTAAGAGGCTTTATTTGCTCACGTTTCTTTAACCGTACATTCAATGACTTTGGTGATGGCCCCTTTGAATCTACCACCAGAGGGGTTACAGTATGTGCCGCTGTTTTCTATCATCGTAAAAAAACATGCACAAGGCTTGCTTTGTTGTTGGAATGCACTGTTTTTCAGAATGAGCATGAGAGGGCAGTTTAGATTGGGAAATGCAAGTGATGCACCTAAGATTCTTCGCTGAAACCACAACTCAAGACACACTGGGCCAAAAGCCAAAACTGAAAAAAGCTGAAAGTACAGTTTACATCAACTTACATCCAGTTTACAGTTTACATCCAATGAATTCCACTATTTTTAGTTGTAGTTTGCCTCATAGGAATTGTGAAATAGTTCCATGGGGCTGACGTTTTCCCTGTTGATCTGCTTTTGCTTAAACTGTTTGAATGTGTCTGCTCTGAGAAGCTTTTAATTTTCATTACCTTTAAAATTACTTGCAAAGCCTTTTCAATCTTTCTTGGACCAAAATTTGCATCACTGGTACACATTTATTATTGCTTTGTTTAATCAGATTTGCGATAAAACATGACTGATAGGTAAAGTATATTCCTATTCATGTGTTGTTCAAGAATGGACACGAACTAAATGAAAATCTACAAATTTTGGGCTTTGTTACATAATGTTCTTTATACATCACATAAATGCAGCAACAGAAGAGAACAGTTGATTTCACATCAGAAATAGACAATTTTTTCCCACCCTAAATATGGGAATGTTTGCAACATGTCTGTGTTAACCGATGTTAATTAAACCTGCCTTTAGTCTAGAAGCATGTAGCATTTTTCCACACAGGAGAAGCATCCCACTTTATCAGCCATGCCAGATGCTGGTTTAAATACCAGCTTGCCTTTGTGCTGTTGATATTTTATGTTCAGTGGTATGTTATAGCAGAATTCCTCAAATTTTTCAAATCTCTGCATAATTAAATGGTTAAGATGTGAAGAGAGTCATTCCGAGTGGTTTGATGTAAAATGCTCCATTCAAGAGAGTCAGAATTGTTCACCGTGGTCATGATAGAAACTAGACAGCTGACACCTCTAAAAACGACCTAACAGAAAGTTATTACATGAAATGGCTACAAATATGTTGGCTGATGCCTGAGACATTGTTTTACGATAGTTTTGAGATATGCTTTTGGGCTAATACATATATTATAATAACACCAAATGAAAAGGATTTAACACTTTAATCATCATCAACATTACATACAAAAACTCAGAAGACTCGTGTAGTTTCACTGGTGGTTTTGGATATAATAAAATGGTTATATTGCAGACATTGCTATCCCTGATTCCTATCACCACCACTGTAAAGATATCTGTAAGTTCCTCAACAATGAACCATTTCAATGAAACATTTCACACCGAATTATACAGAAATTTTTAAAAACGGTGGAATTGGACTTTAACGCTGTCTTAGATTATTAACATCCAGATATCCAGAATGCTACACCTACAGTTGGCTTCTTATGTTTATATCTTTAAAAAGGTAATTATAAAACACATTACCGTTGTTACATCTAGTAAATAATAGGATCAGAATCACAAAGTGTCATCAGTTTATTCAAACATGCAAAAAAAACATGTAAAAATATAAATAAATACCACAGTAAATATTTTTTATCCATAATTTTTTATTTTACATAATTGTTTCCTGTTTACACCGCGACCCAGAAGAATAAGCGGTTTAGATGATGTATGTATGTATGTATGTTTCCTGTTTACATGTAGCCTGCTGATTCCCATGCAGTGTTGCAGATGACTTTTATCTGATGCTGTATAGCAATCATATTCTAGAACTGCAGCTGTGCACGTGCAGAAATAATGCCAGAATTTACTTGCAAAAAGGTGACTACATTAAGTGCCTGATAAATCCCTCTAGTTTGTACCTTCAGTGTTAGCGGTCACATAGTACAAAGCTGGTACAAAAGAAGTTGGCACAAAAGGTAAAATGCTAATAAAATCAGAAAGCAGTGATTTATAAATCCACTTTGACCATGTATTTGAACAAAATTGTACAAAGACAAGATATGTAATTTTTAATTTTTCAACTTCATCATTTTTTATAAATATACATTCATTCTGAATTTGAACGTTGGGACAGGGGCAATTTAAGACTAGGAATATTGTAAAATGTAATCATGCTTGGGTATGGCAGTTCAGACCTGTCCCCTGTAGAATTTTTAGAACCAGGACCAGGAGGCCAGTCTTGCATCTGTAGTATTGATCTTTGTTTCTGTGATGTGCACAAGGTTCTGGACATTGGGAGAGCTGTGTTTATATAGGCTGGCTTAGGCACATTGTTGCCTGGACCATTGCCAAATTAGGTACAGAAGCAACAACTGTTTTCAATCTATATATAGTCAGCTAGGAATAACTTTTCATAATGTCTTCCAATTGTCCTCTTAGGTACAGCTTACAGAAAACATACACCGAAAAAACAAATCACATCCATATTATAACACACAGTACTGAACATAATATTACACATAAAGCATATAAAACAGCAGATCTTTCACTCCCACTGAAAATGTGTGTCTTATTAAGTTCAAAATACAATAACAGAGGCCTTGTATTGTTGCATAGCTAAATACTTGTATAACATAAGAATGGCAAAAAAAAAATCCCATTAAAAACCAGATCAGTTTGTGTCTCAAGTCTCCAAATGTTTAAGTGTTGTTGAAAGGAAAGGTGATGTAGCACAGTGGTAAACATGCTCCTGTCCCAACTTTTTCGGAATGTGTTGCAGATATTAAATTTGGATTAAGCATATATTTCCAGAAAAACATTTTTCTCTTAATACAGCTCAAACAGAATTTACTAATCACTGCTTTCTGTTTTCATTAGCATTCCACTTACCGTCATAGCTTTTTTGGAATTTGTAAAATGATTTTCCGTGGAATACCCTTTCATCGGTCCTGCAGTAAGTCATGCATGTAGCTTATTCATCCTTGTGCTTGTTTCTCTGATTTCAGTAAATCAGTGTGAAGCAATTTAACGTGAACGTGCAGCTCTCATATAGATTCTGCAGCTGCAAATAAATCTTATATTAAACTCTGGTTTTGCTGTTCAAATATCCATCTTTACTGTGATTAGCTTTCTTATTCAAAAGTTAAAATGTGACATGCATTGTAATGTTGAAACTTCTCCTTCACATATCAAGGCTATAAGGGTCTATTAACATTCAAATAACCAAACATGTTGTGTTTGTTTGATGCACCAACAGCTTCCCACATTTATAGTGCCACTGTCCTGCACTGACAAAGAAGTATTTCAGCTAGTCTTATATTCCATCGCTTGAGTGCTCACTGCAGTGGTGTTCTTGAAGATCATTTGTGGTGATACACTGGCTAGGCTAATTTGCTCCTATCTGGTCTGATCAGAAATGTGCCTCAGGCTGGTACAAGATAAGATGCGAGCCCTGTTTGTTCTGTTACTGTTCTATTAATTTATGTGCATACTTTGTACATGTGAGGGTGATGACGGTGCTGGTTAACTGACTACACACTACTTACACTGGATGAATTCACTGACCGCTTACTGGAAGTGTTTGCAGATATTCATGTAGACATGTCATGTCTAACTGAGTTGCTCAAATGTTACAGTCATGTTAGGTAATCTTCTTTGCAGGATTGCTGTGGAATAGTTATGGGATCACGTTGGGCTCTGGTGTAGGACCCCTCACACTGATAAAAGCAAAGTATGATTAGTACTATTAGTATTAGTGTTATTAATGTTAAGCAGAGTTTCAGACATTTTGATGGCAGTCATGGTGTTCAGGAATGATTGATTTCAATTATTTGTTATTGCACAAAAACACATGATTGCCAGGCCATGATGATAAGCTACTCCAAACATGAACCATATTCTCAAACAGCCTAAACAAACAGACCTTTGCCAATGAAAACATATTTGTTGGCTTATGGCATGGGTGCTAAAATTTTAAGTTGTTGGTGTTGCAGACAAGACAAATCCTCTGCACATTAAGACTGACTCAAGCTTTACTCTTCTCCATCTTAAAGCTTGAGCCAGAGATGAAGACTTGAGTCAGTGACTTGCACTCGAGCCACATGTTAAGTGACTCGCGACTCAACTCCGAAATGTCTAACTGACTTACAACTGAACTTGTGCTCGTGAAATTTCAGCCTGAGGAAAAAAGTGAACAGAACTGATTCAAGTAGGACCGTCAGCCTTAATCCTGTAAATGGATGGAAACTTTCTTTACTATCTTTTGCTCATGTACAGTAATGCTGTTCTCCTGAAGTTCTCAGTGACGTCAGGTTCAAATGCCTTCAAATGATGAGCCTATTATTAGAGAAAAACCTTCATCTAGCATATGTGCTATATAATACAGACTAACCAAACAACTTTAACACCGCATTTACTGCATAGTGCTTCAGTTTTTTTCATCAGATTGAAAGTACTTCTATAATGAAAGCCTTGTTGTTTGAAGCCATCTCGAACCTGACAAGTGAAAGGAGTAATACTGTTAGCGCTAACTGATGAGGAGGCGAAGTTAAACCAGACAGGATCTTTACATGGCTCAGCACACAGTAAGTGACTAAAGTTGAACTTCAGAGTGTCAGTAACTGAACTGTAGATCAGCTCTGTCCCCATTAAAGTATTGTCTTCCCCACTGTCAAAGGATCTTATATGACTTTGGAAGAAAGTACCAGACGTTGGGCCACATTCACCGACTGTTCTTGAGAAGAATTTTGCTATTAAAACCCTTTTAAGTATTTTTCATGAAGATTCTGACGTTCACCAGTGTTCTCTAATTTGGCATTTGTTCTTAGGTAAGATAAGAATCTACACACTCAAGAGCACAAAGGTGTGAACAGTTCTGTTGTTTAAGAACATGTCGTGAATCTGATGCAGACTTTTTCTTAGGTCAACAAAATTAAGTAAAAACTTAAGAAGATATTGGTGAATGAGGCCCTGTGTTTCCTTGATTTGAATTTGCTGTTCTTGCAGTTTGTTTAAAGCACGGGCATTTATCAGCTAACTGAAACCCTGGTCTTAAGTATGGTTAGTGTTATGCTTGAATATGGTAAGTAAATATAATCCTTAATAGAAGATCATTCCACATTTGCCTCTTTGCAACTTAATCACAATTGCCAATAGAAATAGAATGTTTTAAAAACTTTAATGTGCTTGAACAGGCCCTGCCTCAGATCAGTTGGGTACAGCGTAAATAGATGCTTTTATGCTTTTTCAACAAGGTTTGTTGCGGTTATGTTGAACTAAACAGTAGATACTTCATATTTTTTGATGTCTGCAAACCTGTGCAATGTTACAATCCCCATAATACAGCATAACTAAGCTGAATAATTGCCCTTTGCATTGCTAATTTTACTGTTCAGCGCAGAAAGAATACTGTGGAAGTCTCATCAGGACTTCCAGGCAGAGCACAACACATATGACAAATGTTTTCAGTTTAAATATGCTTTTACAAATTTAATAGTAGTGCTATTAAAGATAGTAGTGATATCTTTGCAATGGTTTAGGGGCCAACCTCTCTAAAAAAAAATAAGCACCAGTACAATGAAGATTTTAAAATAATCTGCCGATATGATTTCATATCTTCAACAATTTGAAGACTATAATTCAACAGTGCTTACCAAATAATGTGATGATTCGTTATTGACTTTAAATGACAACATATGATTGTCCCCTCTCAATTGTGAAATTTCAACAAATAAACAGCAGAAACTCACATAAATAATGTGAATATTATAAGTCTTAAATAACAATTATTTTAGCACCACCATTCTCATAAAGGTTTTTTTTGTATTATAGCATGCTATCTTCATCTTAAGGGTTAGATATTTACACATTATACATTTTGTAAATATCTTACCTTAGCAATGATGGTGTTTTGTGATTGTTTTTGTGATTCAGTCTGTATTACTGGAGAAAAAGCTATTAAACAGTTATTGCAAGCTTGATAGCTGAGACGCTCGTATGTAAATTGTATCCCTGACTTCATTCCCTACCTTTGAAAGTGAATGTCTCCAGCCATAGCTTGAGTCCTATCATCTGGCAATCGCACTTCCACGGGTTCCCCCTCAGGTTCAGCACCTCCAGGCTCCCAAGGGCCTCCAAGTGAGTGCGGTCCACCTTGGTCAGCCGGTTAAAATGAAGTGATAGGTGAGTTAGGTGGTGGAAGCTATCGGCTAGTGCTCCAGGTAGCCCTCCAATGTTGTTGTAAGAAAGGTCCAACTGGGTTAGATTCCGTATAGAGCCCAAAAAACGGCGGTCCACCTCCCGGATCGAGTTGTTGGCCAAGCTGAGGCTTCTTAACCCCCTGAGCCCCAGGAGGGCACTGGGGGAAATCATAGTGATGGTGTTGTTGGCCAGGTCCAGAACCCGGAGTTGTGGCGTTTCCCGAAATGCCATGGAGCCAAGGCCTCGTATGCGGTTGTCCTGAAGATACAGCTCCTGAGTTTCGGGATGTAGCTTGTGAGGAATGTCGTATAAACCTCGCCCCCGACAGTCCACCACCTTGGCATAACTATCACATGAGCACTCCTTGGGGCAAGGGGACACTGCCTGGACCAGAAGTAAGGTGGACAGTGTAAAGACCACACCTCCTGAGGTTAAAGAAATAGACATACAGTTACCATTTTATCTTATAATTTTTGTGGATTTAAAAATATCTCCAAAAAATAAGACTGTTAAATCCACCTACCCAACATAAACAAAATTGCAATTATATAACTGCTTGCCATGATTTGCAATAAATTAAAAAAAAAAAAAAAACATTGGATAACCCTTGATACAACACAAATCAAGATTGGTCTGCTTTATTTTAACCAAAGTTATTTATGTTTCTTGGGTGACTTGATTTATCAAAGCACCCACAGAACACTCACCTTTAACATCAGAGATTGCTCAGGATGCTCACAACACACCAGAGAACTTTGGGTGGTTGGTTGGAGGGCTCGTTTGCATATTGCAACCTTTTTGTCGGGATTAACCATCTGTAGTGTTAACACTAACACTGCGATAACTAACATGACAGCAAGTGACAACTTCTTTCTAGAACTCCAAGCAGTTCTGTGAAACCTGTTGCAGTGGTTGTTGTAAAAATAGTACTTAGTGCCAGTGATGTTAGTCATGTCAGCTTCCATGACAGGCCGACATCACAAATTCATTCTTTATTGGGAGTAATTTGTTTAGAAAACACAATCCTTGCTTTTAACACTGTTAAAGCGCTATGATTATCATCAATCCCAGTAACAAACCTACAGGGCTGACTGGTTAAAGCCTGATGAAGATGGGTTCATGGGATCGGATGATAGCAGTCCTTAGTCTGGCTGTCTGTGTGGTAAAAACAGGGATCCCTCCATGTCACTCCCTGTGATATGGATATGTTTATAGTGGACACAATAAATGTGTCATAGTCTTTGTACATGCCACATTTTGTGTGGCAATGTTAAATTTAGCAAATAAACTATTTTTTCATTAAAATAATTGTATAATTAAATTATATAATTGTATAATTTTATAATATTGTATAATGATGCGTTAACTTTTTCACTTAGAAAATCAACAAAACATGTAATTTAACCAGGGTGCCTGTAAATGGCTGTATATACGTTTTTTTTTCTGTAATTCTGGCTGTGCATTCTTAGTTTTGGCCACAAGATCCATTTACCTGAGGGCTTGAGTGGCCAGTCTTTTTTCATTTAGACCATTTTACTTTGCAAAACTTGAAGGGCCTAATGTAAATTTCCCCTAGTGCAGGGGTCACCAATCTTATTCACAAAGGGCTGGTTTTAACTCCAACACACCTCATATAACTAACCAGTTGTTTGAAGACTGAGACCAATGAATTAACCCCTTAAAATCCTAGGCTTACTACATACTAAGGCTTATTATTCCATACCTACAGCAATTTCAATACAAACTGCCCAAGCTATTCTTAGGTTACAGAAGTGTGTAAGCCGGTGGGCCCTGGCCATTTAAGGGGTCAAAAAAGTGGGATGAGGTATGCTTACGTTTGGTTGGAAGAACTCCTGAAGCCGCTCCGGCTCATTGTGGATAAGATTGGTGACCTTTGCCCTAGTGTCTTGTTTGCACCGCAAGCTCTTCAGAAATGTTCTTGAGCAATTGCTTCTCTCTCACACGCATGTTGTATTTATAGCATGCCATAAGAGATCAGCAGGTCAAAGTACACATATGAATCGGAAATACAAGAACTTCAAACATACACAGATTGAATTACAGCAAGATCCTGTGACCCTAGAAAGATCTAAAGCAGGGGTTCTCAATCCTGGTCCTGGAGATCTACCAACCCCGGGAGTTCAGATCCATCACACCTGCCTCTAATAATCAGAGGCCCTCGAAGGTCTTCATTACCTGGATCAGGTGTAATAGATTAGGGTTAGAGCTAAACTCTGCAGGGTGGTAGATCTCCAGGACCAGGATTGAGCACCCCTGACACCCCTATACAGTGTTGGTATAATCATTCCTGCTCTCGCTCTTGTAAACAATCTTCTTGGAAAGAGAGGCCAAATATGCAGTCAACATTCGTACATTAAAGAAAGTTCACATTAATGAATGTTTATTGATCATTCTGTTCTGTTTTCTTTTAGGCTATACTGTAAATATGGTATTTTAGCAAAATATACAGTATTATACATGCTTTTAAATTGAACATATTGTTCTAATCATTCCTCTTGGAGGAAAATTAACATTAACAAACATTTAATATCATTTAACAACAAAACTCAGGACATTCAATATAAGCACCACATCAGATAAACAAGTGCTACAATTCTGGTGTAGAATTTTATACACTATGTAATACAACAACAGTGGGTACTATATAAAGAGGGCTGTAAGCATGATTGTAAAAAAAACTCCCAAATTGTGTGCAGGTAAAAATACACCCTTTAAAAGAGAGCCATGCCCTCCAGCTCAGACTGAATCAGAGCTATGACATTTGTTGTGTGTAGTCAGAAGCCAAGGGGAACTGCTGTTGGCCACATTTCCAAAGTGGATTAGACAGTAAGGGTCATTCTTTCTGGTTGCATTCTGATCAGGCTTACCAAAATGGAAAATATTCCAATGAAACTACTGATATGACTTGATGATAGGCCTGTGCCTCTTATTTGGGCAACTGCATGGAAAATAAACATGGGAAAAGGTTAAACCAGGTCGGAGGTGGTGGTTATGGTTTGATGCATACTTTGGGGATAATTTTTTTTTCCTTGGCTTTACCCTATAAAGGTTATTTGATATACATAGCAATATAGTAATAATAATAATAATAAGAAGAAGAAGAAGAAGAAGAAGAATTTTTGAGATTTTGAGTTCCTTAATCTGAAGTGGACATGGAAGAGAACACAGTAATAGCATGTGAGTTGAGGCTTAATCTTTGTTAAATAATAGTGCATCATTCGGCCACAAAACTATAATCAATCTAGTAATAAAGCATGAAATTGTGAATGTCACAGGATGGTTCTTGTGACATTCACAATTTCATTCTTTATTACTAGAGAGTTCTGATGTCTTCTCCTCAGAAGCCATTTTGCCTGAAACTGTTTTAAACAGCTCATTTCGCCTGATGTACGAGAGCTGAGACGTGATTTCACTTGTTTTTTTTCCAAGACCTGAAGCTGTTTTATCTGATATCTAAAACCTGACACAGTTATCCGACTATGTCCTAAAATGTACACTATACCAAATGTACAACTCAACAGAACAGTTCATGAAAATAAATCAATAAATGAGCGGCAGGTTTTTTACTCCTGTGTGAATTTTACCGTCACTGGGGGCTGTTACCACAGTAAATCGTTTAATTGTCACCAGTTACAGGCCTACTTGATAATCACTAACTAAAGTTATATTTAAAAAAATACATCCTTAACCCTATACTGTCTAAGTTTTGGGAATGTGGATTTGAGAACTGAGTAATTGCATGCAAAATGTAGAACATTTTGCAACATCAGTCGATTGCAAGCGCATTGAAAAAATATTCAAAGAGAACTTGGTGAAGGGGATGTGTCTTCCGAGAATGTAAGTGAATTATCTACTATTGTCATCATATCTTCATCTCCCTTTTTTCAGTAATGCTACTTCTTTCAATTTTAACAAGAAAAATCTTAAAAATATAATGCAGCTTTACCATAATTCAACTAGAGTTAAAAGCTAGAAAAACTCAGCCATGTTAGCATGCTCAAGGTTAACCCTTAACCCTGGCAGAAACTGGAAATTAAATCTCTGATATCAGGTTACGGAGGCAAGGTTATGGCCAATTAGGAGCTTCCAGAGTTAGTCACTAGCACAAATAGGAATTTCATGAATACACATAATGTGGTGGCATTTGCTAAATTATAGGACTGTTGCTACCACAGGCAAGAAATCATTTAAAAAAGGTGATGACATGGTGAAATAGTAGTACAATAGTATAGAATGCCAGTTAGCTAGTTCTTTTACTGGTGGTAACTTGAAATCAACTAAACAGACTTTTATTTATTGGTTGGGGGTGACTGGCAAGAGATTGTGAATGGAAAATGCTCTAATTCTGATTGCTATGAGGAAAGATCCAGGAAAGGACATTCAAAAGTGCAAGAATCTCTCAATCGAAATGACCAGCGTTGTTTTTTATTTCATAGTAATTCAAACAGGACTTTAAAGCTAACACCAACAACAAATCAGGTTTGTTAAATGTTCTCAGATAATACATTCTGTCTCTTATTTAGAGTTGCAGCTTGGTTTAGTCAAATGAATATGGTGAATAGGCAAATATGAATAAGCGCTGCTCGCTGGGAGACAGACTGTGAGAAGCGTAGGTTGATCCATGCCTTAAACCACAACTGTTCAATTTTTATTTTGAAGCCACCACTCTACATTTCATTGAGAGCTTTTGAAACGTGATATTTAGCAACAAAAGACATTACGTAAAAAGCAACTCGCGTGATTACAGTTAGTCATGGCACCACACATTTATTTTTAGCATTGCTTTAACATCCCTGTTTTCTACAAGACATTTGACTGCTACAAGTATAACATAACTGTGACTTTTTGTAATAACAAAGATTACATTATAAAATAGGTGTGTGCAAACAGGTGCATTATAATGTGACATGCATGACACTATCTCTAACGAGTGATTGTTAAAAAGATTAAAACAATGCTGAAATTATTAAAACAGCGATGAGGTGGTCATCCACAGTGACCACATTTCCTCTGACTAATCTTTGTCTATAATGTCCACGCTCCTGTTACACTTCTGACAGCACTGAGAGCACTTACCTGTCATGGCTCCTAGACCACTCCTCCGCTCAGCATGTCCAGGGGTCATCCTCTGTGTTTGTCAGCGAGAGTGTGTGTGTGTGCGTGTGTTCAGGATCGGACCTTGGCCATGTCTTCTGTGTCTCTGGCCATGGCAGAGACCGTCCCCATCTCTCTGCTCAGCACATACAGTTAGCCAGTCTCCTAACTGTGAACTGCTATTACTGGAGTAGACCCCCCTCTCTTTCTCTCTCTGTCTCTATCCCCCCTCTCTCTCTCTGTCTTTCTCTCTCTCTCTCTCTCTCTCTATCTCTCTCTGTTCTTCCTTAAGTCTTTTTTGCTAACCACCTCATTCTCTTAAAAATATAAAATATATAAAAGGATATATTAATGTAGTATTATCTATCTATCTATCTATCTATCTATCTATCTATCGCTCCTGCTATATTATTCTTCTCTTCCTCAGCATTTCACTTCAATGTCTTCCGTCATTTTCTGCCTCTTCAAACGCCTCCTCTCTCTTGCTCTCCCTTCTATTTCTCTCTACCTATTCCTCTATGCACTTTGCACTCTCTCTCTGCTCTCTCCCTTTATCATTCTCTCTTGCTGTCCCTCTCTTTTTTCTCTCTCTGCTCTCTATATGTTTTTCTCGCTGCTCTTTCTCTTTCTCTGCTTTCTCTTCCTCTATCATTCTCTCTTGCTGTCCCTCTCTTTTTTCTTTTTCTGCTCTCTATATGTTTCTCTGTCTGAACCTCTTTCACACCATCTTTCTTTCTTTCTGCTCTTTCTCTCCCGGCTCTCTCTCTCCCTACCCCTCTACTACTCTCTCTCTCTTTGCTTTCTCTCTCTCTTTTTCCTCTCTCTCTCTCTCTCTCTCTCTCTCTCTCTCTCTCAGAGGCTCAGTATAGCTCAGAGTGGAGAGTGACAGCGTGTGAGTGTGTGGTGGACAGCTGTGCTCTTAAAGCACACTGGAAAAGCTGCGAGAGCTTTTGCATTTCCGCTGGATTAATCTGCCTCAACTGTACCTTACACACACACACGCACACACACACACGCACACAGCCACACACACAATGCAGAATACCTTCAAATTCCTTCTCTTTGTATGTGTTCCCTCTCTGTTATCAGTGCTTTACGTCCACTGCTTCCCACACAAATACAAAAATACCTTCACATTCTGACTCTCTCTCTCTCTCTCTCTTCACCCACTCACAGTAACACACACACACACATACACACACACACACACACACACACACACACACACACACATACACATACACACACACACAGGCAGAGTTCAGTGAGCTGCAGATATTTCTGCCCCAGCACTGTAGCTCCTTATTAGCCGCTACACTCCACTGACATCACATCCCGACAGCAGGCAGGGAACTGGCAGAACATGCCTCCAGCATCACCCCCCCTTTCTTCCTCTCTCTCTCATCTTCCTCACACACACACATCCACATCACACACGCCTCAAGCAAAGCTCCTTCAACAGTTCGCAGTACACGCACAAATACATGCTCACAAAAGCCTACAAGAAAACACTGTAACTACGATGCACATCCTCTTTTAACAAGACTTGACTAACATGTAGAAACAGGCAGATACATAAACACAAGGGAGAAAAAATATCAAGCAAATGTGAGAAGATGACTTCGTGGCAGGAAATAGAAAGATGTAACAGAGATAGGTGTGAAGGGGTAGATTTGTACACATTCAGCACTTTAGTCTAGTCTTGGAAATCTACCACCCTAGAGAGTTTAGTTCCAACAGACCTGGCTCTAATATTCAGAAGCCCCTGAAGTCTTTGATTAATTAGATCAGGTGTATTAGATTAAGGTTGGAACCAAGCTCTCCAGGGCGGAAGATCTCCAGGATTGGATTTGAGAAGTGAGTGTCTAAAAGCATCCTGAAGCTAACCTCATGAATGACTCCTTATTATATGACTACTAATAACTACAGTAAACTCAGGTATTAGTACTGTATGTTTGTATTAGAAGTGCAGTACAGGACATAGTACAGAAATGTACATGTCAAGTACTGATGAACTTGCTAATTCAAAACAGTAAAGTGGTATAACGTGTACTAGATAGCCTTGGGCTGACATTTGATATTATCATGTGCTAATATTATCCAAATGATCATGATCTTTCATGTGGCACATTATTTTTATTAATTATAAGCTATACAAACAAAGCATCACCAACTAGTTAACTACACACATACATTGAACACTAGATTATTATGGAGATTTTCAGTCTGGCAAAGAACGCTGTGGTAGATGCAAAGGACACAAATGGTGCTTTTTTAAAATTTCTCCCTATTACAGAAATAGCTCATTATCCAGTATGTCAGCCATGTTGTAGTGCTGGTCGAATTCTAAACAATAAATCTTTCAGCTGTTTCGCCTTTATTCTCCATTCTGTTCTCTTTATAGTAAACTCTTTATAATGAATAGTTAACAAGCTAACCAATGAACGATAGAACCTCCAGTACATGAGATCTACTCTCTGGTAGTAAGAGTTAAGTGGACAAGCTTGTCAAGGAGAAGAGTGCCAACATACCAGTTTGGCAATATTTCTTTTTCCAACCAAACAAACAAACTGTTAACAGTAAAGATTTGGTGTGAAAACTTGAAAAATGTATGAAAATTATAAAAGCATAAAAAGTGCGTTTTTATTCTCATGGTAAGCCTCTATGAACAGTGTATCAGATTGTTCACTGCTCCACTTATGTTCAATAGAGTTCCTTTATTTCCAAAACAACACTGAAACAGCCACTAGCCATATGCAGAGAGCAATCCAGTGTGGTGGAATGCAGTGAGAAAAGTGTGTACCTTAAACCGGAAGCAGAAACCACTTCCTGTCTGCAGCGCACCTCTGCTACTTGAAGTGCGCTCCTGTGTTATCAATGTGGCCCTTTTTACTGGTTACAGAAATAGCAGTTTTGAGGTTTAAATGTATTTTTTTGCCACTTGACGCAAGCACCATGCCTCTAGACGAATGTACAAAATACTTCTGCTGAGATCATCATTCGCCGAGACTGGTATTGAAAAAACAAAAGTGCCGCTGCACTGCATTTTGACAGCACACTTTTTTTTGCTCTACTTTTTAATGCACTGTCTCTGTTTATTTTCTGAATTTAATATATTGGGAGAAATACATAAAATGTGCCCTGTACCGAGGTTATGGTACATTTTACATTTTATATTTTTTTATTGTGCACTAAAATTGGCAAAAAAGAAATTTGTTTCCTTTTAGATTTATGAACTTATTTTCTCTTAGAAATGCTCAAAGGAATGTTCACATGGTGTAGTCATATGTGGATATGTAGACCTCGTCTTTTTTAACGTTGAAGTATTAAACAGTCAAAGTTTTGGATATCCGCTACACCCCTAAGCCATTTCATTTTAGCAGTGGTATCACATATCGCGGTGGAATAAAACAAAAAAAATGAAAACAGTGTTGAAAATTTGCTACTGAAACAGCCCCTGAACCATCATCCAAAAATATCCATTCAAGAGTGGCTTCATGGCCAGAAACTGACCGTTGATTATGGGCCAGAAGATGAGTAAGAAATCGTGCATGGCAACAGATCTCTATGGCGCTGCTCTCTAACTGTACACCAGCATGAAGGACCATAAGATTTATGTTTCTTATAAAGTGGCCAGTGAGTGCATGTACATAACTAGCATCTTAAAACTTCAAAACATACTTTTACATGAGACAAGAGAATGCACAGATGATATTATTATAATGTAGAGGATATTATCATAAGACTTGAGAGTTTTTAAACTCACCTCTGAGTTTAACATTTTATTTTGGGATGTGAGGGGGGCTTGCCCAGCATTTGCAATCAGATAGGAGGCATCCAGTGGTTGGCTTACTAGTGGAGCTAGACTCAAATATCTGGGCAAGTGGCTCTGGACAGTGTCCATAAGTGCTGGCAAGCCTGCTTCTTCCGCTGTGAGGTTAATGGCTGGAACAGGACCAGTAGGCCTAGATGTGATTGCTCTCTCTGTGTACAGCTCCCTGGTTCTGTGCCTTCTTTCAATTTTGCACCAGCTAGGCTGATGGATGGGTGAATAGTTGATGGTCTCAGTTTTCAATTTGTATATATGCACATCAATTTCCTAACATAAAGAATTAATTATTTACTAGTTGAAATTGAATTTTCACGTGTTAATTCAGTTCCGGAAATTAAGCTAAAAATAGCTTGCCATATTAGTTGCACTGACTAGTTGACTTGTCGGTGATGACGCTTTAAGCTTGATGTCAACTAGTCACTGAAGTATGACACTAACAACATGGACAGCTCAGAGAAGAAGAAAGGTGAGGAGTCTGGTGATCCCAGGGTCCATATCTCCAGTCTGTGAAGGTTAGCAATGCAATCCAGGTCTCATTGGAAAGGACATGTCATGCTCTACTGACCTGTGGCTCATGAATTTTTGCACTTGTTGCAAAGCATTCCCCTCTCATGTGGTTTTATTCACGATGTCATCAGTGATTAGTTGACGTCAACTGGAGATTTACTTGGCATGGGTCTATAATATGTATGACCTTATTTACATGTTCATTTTCATTGGCTCTTGTCTTAGACACAGGTGAAAATACCACCACGTTAAAAGACCCTGGCACACTAATCACCGCCATGGTGACTTTACGAATAGCTCTTATTTATCATGACGCATATTTGTGTGGCATAGCACTGTAATTGAGAAGTTTTATGTTTTTTAGGGTACAAGTCAGCACATGCTCATGCGCACACTCTCATTCAACCTTCATTTAATTTATCTAATCATATTCTAATCACATGCGTTAATTCCTAATCTCTAAGATTGGATTGAAGCCACATATGCTTTCTGGTTGATGATAGCACATCAAATTAGCGCAACATTAGTGTGTTTCATACTCATGCCTTTCCTATCCTGTCTTTACTTGTAAATACTTTTCAGCACAGTAAGTGTTTGTGTGTTAAAATAGGTGAAGGAAATCACAGTGTTTGGGTCCACATGTTAAATGGTGGTAGGAAATCAACAACTCCAGCAAAGATAATTGCATTTTTAATCAAACTGATCATTACTTCACTGCTCATAATCCTATTTATTGAACTAGGTATAAACAATCGATGAAAATGATAAGCCAAAGATAAGACAGCATTCTCAAGATTCTGCTCTCTCAGTGTTTATGGGTGAAAGTAACAGTTTAAATGTCAGTGTTTTATATTGCTGGTAGAGTCATTGAAATAAGTAATTGAATAAACACATAGACGTATATAATTAGATTACATTAAATTTATTTGTTACTTAATTATTTAATTCATTTGGTCCAACAAAACACTCTCCAAATGCCCTCCATCTCTAATCACATCTATAGAAAGTCAGTGAAACTCTTGCAGTGTTGGCTATCACCACTTCTATGCATTTAATAGAGTTATCATGGTTTTAATAAGGTTCAGATTTTTGGGGTAGTTATTGGCTCATGGTTTTAATTCAGGTTTTTAAGGTTGTTATTGGGTTCATACACATCAGCAGATGTAACCATGGTCTTGAAAGTTTCTATGAAAGGCTCTGTCATTATTTTACTTGCTTTACTTGGGTTTATAATTTGCAAAATTTGCAGGGCTATTGCATTGGCTAATATTAAATATAAGATTTCTAAGAAGGAGCAGTGGTATCTTTTTGTAGCCCACACATTTTTCCTGACCTGTTGTTAAAATACCACTATCATTGGCTCCTGAGGCTTCCTTTGACAAACTAATCCACACCTGCTCCCTCCCTGAGCTCTCTCACTCTAAATGTGGAAGAAGTCTCCTCCCTCCTAGATGGACAGCAGGGATACTGTTCTGTCAACACGGTCATGCAGGAGTAATTTACTGCATCCGAATCCAGATTCAGCCCTGGTAATGCTAAGCTTGCGTGGGACATTTTTAGCCTTATCCTAACCGTGTTGTGGCTGTATAGGAGACTGCAGTCAGACTAACTGATACGTGATCGCCTGAGATAGCTGAAGCGGGAGTATGTGTGAGCTGGAGTGTATTTTTACATGCCCTGAATGAACAGGATGTTGAAGAGTATGTCCTGGAGTAAGGTTTCAATATTTGAAGGGTCAGGAGAGTGATGCCTCTTTGATATTACTCCCTGTGTTCAGCTGTGTTTATGCCAGTTAAATATGACGTTAAAATATCTTAACATTAATCTTAATGTTGATCAGGGATGTAGATTTCATTTAAACACTGCTTATAACAC